ACTAGTGTGTTTAAGAGGGTAGAGTGACAAATTTTGACATATAAAAAAAATTTTTAATAAATACATTTATTACTAAACCTTTTGTTTTTGTAGCTGTGCTTGGTGTGGTTTCTTGCTAGAATATAGAACCGACTACGGAGATAGAGTCTAGAGCTAGATAGGGCAAAGATAGACAATACACAATACACCAATCCAACCAAAATTAATATCAAAACTAACAAAATTTATTTTGGCGCTAACATATAAAACCATACACACATACAATCATAACAATATATATATGTGTGTGTGTGTGTGTAAGTTATAGGTATAATGTGGTTAATGTGTTTTAGGCTTAGTCAGATACATGTATATTGAATGGTGTATTAGGGTCAACCTATTTCAATAAACAAATGTATTATTAATATCGTCATACTGTTCATTCAACTGACGCATTACATAAACCCATAAATGTTTTTTTTATAAGAAGTAATTTCCATTTTGTTTCATTCCAATACATCCATATTGATTAGAACCCGAGTTATCACGGAAATATTATTTTTGGGGGTGAACATGCGGGTTAGTTTACATCCGTTTTAGGCTAAAAGAAAAAATATTAGTCCTTATTAATATGTATTTACCTTTTTGAGATTAACAATGGATATTGAGCATACAATAATTTAAAGAAACACACGTTTACTGACGCACGCGCATTGACAATAGCGAACGAAAATAAATAATCTATCTTTGTCATAAGCATACGAGTTGTTCACAACTTCAGTACCATGAGTGCGACAAAGCGAACGTGATTTTTTATCTTTGTCCTGGCAGTGTCGTAGGAGCTAAACGAAATATAAAAAGGTAAATAAATTTGTATCTGTCTAAAAAACAAACGTAAAAAAAAATTTGAAGGCAACTTTTCATTATTTTAAATAATCAATCGAATAGTGCAGAAAAAAAATTGTTTTAGTTTTGTTACATCATTAAAATTAACGATTAAAAATTTGAAATTGTTATAACTTTCTTATTAAAAATTAAAAATTTTATCTATTTCTCTGAAAAGAAAAGTTAAATTTTTTAGAGTAGACTGAAAAAAAAAATACAAAATTCCATAATTTTTCTTGATTTTTTTAAATTTCTGAAATCGTCCCTTAACTTCCAGCCTCCCTAACTCTGTTAATTTTAATAGTACAAGAAAAAGTCAAGAGGCCAATTTTTTGTAGAATTGTATGCTTTACAACTTTTATATGAAACTTCAACTGATTTCATTGCGGGCACCTATGCAGTGTTCATTAATGGCGTACAGAAAAAACCAGAGGCCCATTCTGTGGCTAAAATTAAGTAAATTTTGTTACACACATGTAGGCTCTTAAGGCCGCCGTTTCCGAGCTGCAGGGTTTTCAAAATTAAAAAAAAAATTAAAATTAATCTATTCAATATAACCATAGACCACCTAGACTGGCTTATAGAACGACTTTGGTGAAAAAACTTTGGAGCCTGATTTGGAGCCCAGCGCTCAGTCGTGTCCTAGCATTTGATGTGTACGCATCGCTGTGATTTCGATAATTAGACGTTTTATCATGGGCAAGTGTATTGTAAAACATTGTATAAATAGAAGTGATCGAGTTGGTGAAGAGAGGCGAAAAGTTTCCTTCTTTAGGTAAGTAAAAAAAAAGGAATATATAAAAGGTAAATATGTACGCCATTTTTCAGTTAACGTCACAAGTTTCCAGGGTTAGCTTTATAATTTTGTTCGCCCACATAGTGTAGTGATTAACGTGATATTGTTATTATAAAATAATGAATGAATTACTGTACAATATTTTTAGTAATTATTTACTTTGTCAGTTAAATTTTTATGAAATTTTACCAATTCCCGTCATTTCAAGATAGATGAAAATTAATTAAATATTTTTTTCAATTAAAAAAATCGCAAACAAAACTAATTTCAGATTCAGTATTCGTACAGTCAATTAATTTTTATTAAAGATCGTGGTTGTTTGACGTATCCATCTCGAGATGTCGTAGTAAGATGCTAAGAAACAGAAAAATTAATAAAATTTTTAAATAATGAAAGCAGAACACCTAGGCTACAGAAAAATAAAATTGTTTATCATGTATTAAAAAACTTTCTGAATGTGAACATATTTAAAAATTTGCATGAACATCAATTTGATAATTTGCTTAACAATTGTAATCATTTAATAGAACTTGTAAGGGCTGAATGTGAAAAGTATATCGATGTACGAATAAATCATGAAGTCAAATTATTTAATTCGGTAAAATCTACGAAAAGACAAATATTAAATAAATTAATATTATTTTGAGGATAATAAATATATTTAAATTATTTTGTAGTTTTATTTAATATGACACTAAAATATACCATTTTCTGAATTACAAACTTAAAATTGAATATTTGTCATAAGATATGTAATAAAAATATTACTTAATCCCGATCTGCTTAAAGATGCGCGCGATCAGATTGCCTTCTACACTCCAATTCCCCGGATTTTGCATTCACTGGTACCCGTGCATTGGAATTAGATACGGCCAGTCTAGGTGGTCTGTGAATCTAACTATTACTAAGTAGGTAGTAGACGTTTCGCAAGATTTATTAACTAGGAAGAATCGATTTTTCTATTGTAATGTAAATGCAACTCTTTTAATAGAAGCAAGATAATAAAAAATCCATACGGGGTCTGCTATAAGAGTTTGCCGATTAGTCCCATTTTAAAAATGCCAATCTACCAGGAAAGCATTTTTGTACAAAACTCGTAAAATGTCAGATGTGACGGTAAAATATTGTCACAAGAGTTTAATGGGAACGCCCCATATAGACAAGCGGTTAAGCCGTCATATTTCAAACAAAATACGATTTAGATTGGAAATATTTATCTTGCGTCGAGTGTACACTGTGATATAAAATCACAAATATTTCCTAAACTGTTAATTTTACCGAGTTGAACCAAGAAGGTGTTATCGTTGGCAAATTCTTCAGGGAACTTACTTTTGATACAGGAAGATTGCAATCATCATTTATGCAAAAATTCTGAGTTATTAACCATTGGGCATAGTCCGTCCCTGGCATTCTGAGTAGTGATGGGCATAATCGACCAATTTTGATAATCGAGTTATCGATAATCGAGTACTTCTAATAATCGAGTGATCACTCGAGATACGAGATATTGGTCGTTTTCATCCCAGCGGCGCACAAATATGTTTGTATTAGTCATATATTACTTATAAGCGTAGCTAAAAAAAAAAAGCTCACGCACTTCAAAACCTAACCACTTTTTCGTTTTATTCTAAAAAAAAAGCTCAATGACTATTTGCAGTATGCACTAACATTTTGGGGTGCAACCGTAGGGTAATAATCACTCGAGTGGTGGGAGTAAACATCTCGAGATATCTCGAGTGATCTCATTAATCGAGTACCACTCGATTTTTCACTCGAAATCTCCCATCACTAATTCTGAGCATAATAAAGTTTCACATACAGCATCAAAAACAAGCTGCACGCATGTGTCATCGATCACCAAATTTGCATCATGCTGAAGTTAATAGTTTAGAGACTTTAAATAAAAATAACTTTTTAATTTTCACTTTTGAGGGCCTGTAACTTGTTTACGAAGGCCCATATGAAAAAAAATTATATGAAGAACTGATATTATTTTGACATCTATTTGTACCCGACTCTTTTGTATCAAGTACCGGGACACCCTGTATATATTCGTTATGTTTTGCAGTAACACTTCTTGTTTTTAAATGCAAGTCGGATAGTTCAAACTGAGCCTATTAATATAAAAAATGAAAAAACAAAATATTTGATTTAATTTCAGTATTTCCTCAAGTGTACAAAAATTAAAACAAAACACTTTAGTTCTGCTTGTAACTACAATTACAAGGTAATAAGACGTCTATTAAAAGTGGTCACGATTTATTTGAATTAATAATAAAAATAAATCACATATAACAAATTTACAATAAATATTGATAAAAAGCAAAGAAATAATATTATCTAAGATATTTATACAATATTGTACAAAATAAAGCTTTAATAAAAAAAATCATTCCCAATCTCCATCACCCCAACCCTCCTCATGAATGTCATTATCATTCAATGTGAGCTTACTGCTAAATTCTTTATCAATACTGAAAATAATGTCACTGTCACTTTCATTTATTAAAAACTTATTGGTTGCATTTATTACAGGTTCCATGTCTTGGAAAAAGTCGAAGTCATCGTTTTCGTTCCTGTTTAATTGGTTTTTTATATCGAGTTCCCCGATATCGGGTATTGTTCTTTTTGATTTCTCTACACTTTGTTGGGACACAGTACTGTCAGTCTCAATAACCTCATTCAATATATTTTGATTTAAATTCTCTGGCACATATTCAGTTGAATGAGTATTATCTTCTATTGTATTTAAAAGATTATTTGAACTGGGATTATTTTCATTGATGTCCCAATCTTCCCAATTATCTAAATCTTCATCAATTGACTGTTCAACTTCTTCTGTGGAGGTTTCACCTTCTTCTCCATCTGGTCTTGATCTCTCTGGCAATGTTATTACATTATTTGGTTCTATGGCTAAACTATTTACACTTATCTGATTTTGTAATACTTCAGGTGTAGGTGCAGGTTGTTCAATTTCTCGTGGTTTTGACACTACTTTTAACAATCTTTTACTGGAATGGGTAATTGGTCTGCCATCATTAAATAATTTGGCTCGTTTGCCACCAATTACTGTTGCAGCTCCTAGTACTGGCACCAAGTCTGCTAATGTCCTTAGTGTGACAGCAACTAGATGGTCATTAGTGTCTTTGATTCCCACAAGCAGCTAAAATTTCAACAAAAAAAGCAAATTTTTAGCATTTTTGTACAACTAATTATTATAATTTGGTGTTGCATTGTTGTACTTTTTAACAATGAAAAGAAAACTTAACTTTTAATAAAAAAAACAGTTAAATATAGATTATTAAAGCCACAATGTTTCACTATATCACTTTGAAGGTGACATATCTGCCATACCATGGCAGAACTGTGTAATAAATAAAAGTATATTAAAATAACTGACATTAAAAAATAACTGCTTACCAAAAAAAAAACCTTTTCAAAATGTCAATCTAAATATTTTATAGGTGCTTCTCAAGATATTAGTATACATATCTTTTTATGTACTATTGACATAATTTTTGAACAGGTATATGGCTTACATTGTTTGTTTTTTTATTACACGGTTTTGTCATAGCACTGTAGATATGTCATTCCATAGATCAATAAAACCAGGATATGGGTTGATCTATTAAAAATTAAGTGCAATGAAACTGATATAAGGTGTGTACCATTCCATCATCAAAGTACAAACTGTACAACATTTAGTCTTTTGAATTCGAGTGGGAAATATCTTTTAAGAGGCTTCGTGTTTAAACAACGATAAACAAAATTATGACTTGTGGAAATACAGATCATAAATGATTACAAGCCACATGATCAGTAAATTTGTTTTCTTACTCGTGGACTTTTTTAATAGAAGATTAACATCAATCAAATCTACAATGTTCTGAGAAACTGAGAGATCTGGATAATAGAGAGATGCCCAAGTTTTATTCTGTACTGAATTCATAAATTCTATTATCTCAGAAACAGTTACCAGTTGCAACACCAGGCATAAAAAAAGTTCAAATATATATTTTCATTCTGTATCTTCTATCGCAAAGAAATATACATTATTATTGTTCAATATTTCATAAAAACGTATTGAAAAAATACTAAAACATTTTTGGAAGATACTTACCTCTGGCAAAATGCATGTCTGCAATTCTTCTTTAGAAAATATATGCATAAAACTCAAAAAGTGTGTCAACAGAAGCAGTCTAATTTGTGCATCACGGACACTAATAATTTCTAATAGTTTTGGTGAAACATATTTTTTAAAAGTATCTTCTGAAAATAATAGCTCTGAATGTGCTTCTTGATCTGAAAATAAGCAGAGAAAAAATATACTTTTTAAAAAAACAGATACATTAAGATTTACACAACTTTGACCTATCACTGTTTATACAGTTTACAACCAATTTATTTATTCACCTATTAACTTGTAAACTCAATTGGCATTAGTAATGGGCTAATTCGAATTAAAAATAACTTGATAATTTGATTAATCAAGTAACCTAAAGCCCACAGCAGCAGACGCTGAATACTTTACAGCATTATTGAATATGTTGAAAGTATTGAAAATACATTCTTACAGAAAAACGACAACTGAGCCGAACTACTATTTTTCGCTGGTTGACTTATGTGACTAAAGAAAATCAATACATACAACTGTAAATAGTCGTATATATTTTTTTCATGTATTTAATTCCGAATGACATCTAATTCGATATCTTTAATTAACATTATTTATAGAATTTAAGTTAGAAACTAGTTTAAATTAGTAGAATATAAAGTTGTAGTTTTCAAATATTCTAATTTCTTAAGGCCACTCTAGAATTTTGAAAAAAATTATATTTGGATGAATAGTTTAAACAAAGTTTTATTATGTGAAGAATATAAGAAAAATGTTTTAGGCAGGAGAAATATCGGGAACTCTCAGTTCATTGCAGAAATGCTTATTGTAACTCGTGAGAATGCGCGGGACACTTAGCTATTATATAGGCCAGATTGAGTCAGATCAAGCTGAAAAGAAGAATATGAAGAAAATATTAACATAGAAGGCCAACTATATGGCGCATGCAGGCATCTCCGATTGAAGGTATATATAACAAATTTCTTGTGCTGAATGGAAACAAAAACTTTAAAAGTGTTTCTCAAGAAACCACAATTTTTTAACTGGCCAGAAACATAACTCAAAAATTTTCAATGAATCGACTAACGAAATTTTCGACAGTGCTTCACAAAAACAAAATTCAGGGAACATCATAAGGGTTTTTTGATTGATTCACATTTTTCATTGTTGTTAACAATTTAATGACAAATTTTTAGTCTTTTTTCAATACTTATTTTAATGTTTACTAAATCAAGAATTATTATTTTTTAATTTCCTTATAATGTTCCCTAGCTTTTAGTATATATCAGAAATTTTTTTATTTTGTGCATGTTTGTGTACATGTGTGTTGTGTATGTTTTACCATAATTTATAAAGATAATTTAATAAACCGATTACTGACATAAAAATTCACAACATATTAGTTTATAACACAGTTAAATAAAAGGTTTTGAATTATAAGTTGCACTTCAATGAAATTTCGTATTTAACAATCATCAAATTAAATTTATATGTTACTTTTATTTTGGATCATAGGTACACTGCTGCACAGTTTCTCTAAAATTGTTTTGCTATTTTGCCTTGAATTGCTAACCAATTTTTTTATTAACGATCTTTTTTTTATTTAAAACCACATCGAATTTGAAATTTATTTCTTTATTTAACTACATATATGAATAACCGATATGAAATTAAAAAAAATGTCGATTATCAAATCTTAAAAACGGTGAAAGATAGAAACAATCTAAAATCATCGTGTAATAAGTAAGATCATATACCAAAATTGTACATTGTAAAATAAAAAAGTGTTTTTCACTTTTTTTTATATTTGAGGAACTAATTGAGATATGTATATTATATCTGAAAAAGTTTCAGTAAAATGTTTACTAATTTGAGCCAGTTATATCTAATAGTTTACGATATTTTTGTAAGTTCCCTTAAAATAGTCCTAATTTGGTTCCTATTCTATTTGAAGCAGGTGAATGAGTCATATACTAACAATATACAAAATCAAGCAAAGTGGGTTAAATCGCAACATGAAACTAGAATTTGTTATTCAATTTAATCCATTGTCGATGATAAACACGTTCTGCATCCCTGCTCCTCAAATAAATTTTAGCTTCATTCTTGATTCTCGGATCTGATTCATCTCCTGCAAATATATATTGATATACTTACCGGGGTGTGGAGTCAATAAAAAAGGCAAGAGGAACTCTTGAGCGGTTATGTTTAATAAAACCATTCTAGATAGAAGCAGGCTACTAAGTTGACTTGCTACAACGACCTCATTGAAGCTTTTTAATTTATCTTTAAGACTTCGGAAAAACAATGTTTTCTCCTCATCCGATTTTAAGGGCAATTCTATCAGAAACGAGTGGATAGTAATAAATTCATGATTAAAGAAGTCATGTTCTAATATCGAACTTAACTTTGGTCTTTGGGAAATATTCGAGTTTTGCAGCTCTTTATGGCAATACTCACAAAATGATGATAAGTTTGGAATGTCGTCTAAAAAAAATCCCAAATTAAAATTAATATGCATCACTTTAATAAAATCTATAGGCTTTTTTCGCGAGTGAAATCGTATGTTGTAGTATGTGTAGTATGTGAATTAAGAGATTTAAACTACCATATAACAACTAAGATCAAAAGAGATACAATAGTAACTACAAGTTAGATATTCACCAATATTCAGTTAGCAAAAAAAGCCTTATATTTAAGTATGTACATTTTATAAAACAATTACTATTTTTAATTTAGTTTAAAATTTCTTTATTTCCAGAATGACGAAATATCCAATTCCCTAAGTAAAAAAAATAATTTACCACTGTTAAATAATTACAAACAATACTTTCAATATCTTGTTAATTATAAAATCTCGTATTCTTTGCTGAAGGGGAGCCTTTCGTATAAAGTTTTAATACAGGATGCTTCATTAAAAAGATGCAGAGTATTAAGCTTAAAATATTTTTATTTTTTTTTAAATAATTTAAAAACTAATTAGTGAAGTAATTTCAAATTAGGGGCATGTATTTTTATGTACATTGTCCAAAATCTGAGACCTTTTCCTAAAATTTAGGTGTTCCAGTGGCGGAGACACAGATTATCTCAAGCATATTTTTCTAAATAAAATAGTACGTCACTGCTTTACGGTAACAATCATGATATTTTTGGATTCGTCTTTCAATTTTCTACAAATTACTACTCTTATGTTTTTCAAAAAAACCTAATTTTCGAGTAACACTTAAAAAACAATCTGAAAACACTTTTAATTAAATGACATGACAAACACTATCGTTCAGTTATTTAATTGAATAAATAACATATTAGTCATCATTTTAATGATTCTATTTGAGTAAATGCTTAGAAATACCTCCATTTCCACGAACACAGGCCCGACATCTTTTTAGTAACGAAAATGTAAGTTGTTCGAAATTTATTGTTGCTTGAATCTGATGTAAAGCATTATTTATTTTTTCTTTTAACTGCTCAGGTTTATTAATTTGTTCACTGTATACCTGCCATTTAACAGCACCGCACAGAAAGAAATCCAGTGGGTTGAGACACAGTGATCTTGCAGGCCAATGTCAGGTCCATTTCTGCCTATCCATCTTTGCCCAAAATGATAATTTAACCATTTAACTATATTTCGGCTAATATGCGGTAGTGCACCATCGTGTTGGTACCACATGAGTTCTCTTGTTGCTAGCAAAATGTCATCTAAAATGGTATATTCTACGTGATTTTCTAGTAGAGTTAGGTTCTTGTTCAAACGTTGTAGCCATGCTTGCATAAATAGCGAGCTGTTAAAAATGCCACTCCATATATTAATAGAAAAGCCGTGTTGAAATGAGTGAGTCCTTGTTGCACAAGGATTTTCTAATGATCAAATATGCTCATTATAAGGATTGTAGATGCCATTCCTTGTAAAAAGCGATTCGTCCAACCAGAATATGACATTAGGAAAACCTATATTTTGAATATTCATTTCTAACAGCCATTCACAAAAAACTGGCCGTTGCATCTTGTAACAGAGATTGAACTTTCAGCACTGCTAATCTCTCTCACTTCTTCAACTGCATGCCTTCCACCAGCACCTCCAGCACCAGAACGTTGGGCAATTCTGCATTGCCAAAGTCTTAGAAATGAGCACGTAAAAACTTTTAATGTAGGATGACGTTTATTGGGAAACCTACATTGATACTCCCGGCAAGCCGCTAAAGCGTTTCCATTATAAAATCCGTAGATAAAAATAATATTGTCGTACTCTTTGTATAAATAATAATAATAAAGTTTCTAACTGATATTTTAAAAACAATTAAGGTAATAATAATGAAATTATCGACAGAATATCAAAGTTGCTATCGCGGCCTACTATATAAATTTAAACTGCACTTTATTCAAATATCGAAGTGTGTTTTCAGTTCGTTTTTTAAGAAAATCAGGCTTTTTTCGAAAAACATAACAGAGTAGTAATTTGTAGAAAACTGAAAGACAAATCCGAAAATATCATGTAAAGCAGTGGCGTACTATTTTATTTAGAAAAATATGCAACCAATACCCTGTATCTCCGCCACTGAAGCATCTAAATTTTAGGAAAAGGCCTGAAATATTGAATGTTTACATAAATACACGTGCCCAATTTCAAATTATTTCTTTTACTAATTTTTAAATTATTTAAACAAACTATATATTTCTTTTAAGGTTAACACCCTGCATCTTTTTAATGAAGCGTCCTAGATAAAAACTATATACAAAACACTCCCCTTAAAATTCACCAAAGAAAGATGCTTCATTTATGGTCACTGTTTGTGAATCACCCTGTATATTATGTGATATTACTATTTGCAATATGCATCATAACACAAAAAGATTTTGAACAAAATTTGTAAAAAATGAAATTAAAATAGCAGTTGAAAGATCAAAAAAGGGTTACACATTTTTACATAATTTATAAGATACATATGGGTGTTTCCAATTTTCAAAAAAATTTAATTTTTCTTAGTTATAATATTATGAAGTTTGAAAAAATTGAATGTTGTTAGTATCAAATTAAAATTTAGAGGCAAACAAAATTTAATTTTGAGTAACACAAAAAAACCTAATCAATTGTGAAAAATAGATACCTATGCCTATATTCAAAACACAGACATCCAGAATGATTGAAGTGTTTGGAGATCGCAGCCTGTGCGATTTTTATGATTTTTATATGCTAAAGACGGTGTTAGAAACAGGCTGCGTTCCCCAAACACCTCAATCACTCTGGATCTCTCAGTATTAAGTAGGTATGTCAAAAAAATTTAAAGGGGTTATTTTTTGAATAATTTTAATCAAAAAAGGTTATATAAACACGAGTCCACAAACCAATAATTTTCGATAGTGTTGAAATTTAAAAAATTTCAACTTTTCTAAAATATGAAGATATTTTAGAATATAAAATGATGAAACTTAAGCTATTGATTTATCTAATTAAATTTTATAATCCACACTAAAAACCCTAGAAACTCCACGTGACTGATCTGCTCGTTTTGCTAAAAAGGTCATACGATTGATTTCCTAAATGTTAATATTTTAAATACAATGTAATGAAATGTCTGAGAAACTAACTGCTGCAATTTTCTTTCAAGCAAAATTTCACACTACTTTTTCGTCTTCTTACTATGATTAGTTTGTATTTAAAATTATATTTCTTTGACCTTTTTGATAGACGAGTAGTTCGAGTGAATTCTATTTTGTGAAGTGTTTGGGCAATGTTAATGGAAATTAAAAAAAAAGAGTCGAAAATGGTTTGTTTTCCGAGTACAATGAAAGATATCCTTGTTCTTGGAGACATCACAAAATGTTACAGGTAGTGATCGAATTTTGAAAATATTCAGTGGTGTCAAATATTTCGGGTTTTTCTGAAAGCTACTCCCAGTGTCTTCGCCACTGCAGCACATATTTATATCTGAATTCAGTGGATTATTGAAAAGTCATGAGCCTATGTTTCATTATTCTGCGTCAAACATCCTCGGACAACTCAGAAAAGGAGATCTTTTTTTTAATTCAAGACCTTGTATCTCAAAAGCTATTGATTTATATGTGTACATCTTTTTAGAAAAAAAACTCTGGAAGAATGAACTCTTAAAGTAAGATTAACATCCTCTATATTTTGTACATTTATAGTGCGACCAACTAAAAAACATCTCTAAATTTATTTTTTTACGATTCAAATATTTTTTTTATAAACAGTGGCCTGCTTGTGACTTTCATTCATAATCCAGTGTGATTTTTTTTATCTCATTAAAATAATTTTAAAAAAATATACCATACAATATAATTACTTGTAGGATTCTAGTAAATAACAGTTGCAATTATTACATACCACTATTGCCCTTTGATTTTAATACTTCACAGGCAAGTACTCCAAAGGCATATACATCAATAAAATCTTTCTGCTTATTAATATTTAGAAGAAGTTTATCTTCATTAGTATCAATAGCTTTATCATATCTATTTGTTCTAGATTTATTTAAATAATCTTGGTCGAGATCTTTATATTTACAAAGGTATTCCATTCCACCCAATTTCCAACTGCCACTTTTGGTAACATAAATAGAAGCAACACATATATTATTATGCGATGATGACGTTTTTTCATGTAAAAAATGTAAAGCTTTAAGTATTGAATGCAACCCTATACATATTTGTAATGTATTAAGGGTAGGAAGAATATGAGCCAGTGGAGTTACTTCTTCTACTGCCAAATAATATTTTGAATTCTTTTGCCAAGAAGAAACATATTTTATAATGCATGGATGACGATATATCATCAAAATCTAAAAAAAAACATTATGTAGAACTATTCTTATTTCAGTATTTAGATGAAGTGTAAATTAAATGGGTATGTCTTTTGTCTCATATTTATGAGATAAATTTTACAGTTATTTTAATATCGATCAAATGTAAAAATGGAAAATAAAAATATATCTACGAAATAGTAAAGTTCCACCCTATTATGTATTTACACCACAAATACATTTTTGGCACATATTAGTATAAAATGCACTTCAATTTGTTCAAATTTATTTATAAGCACTAGTTATCTAATTGCCTTACTTTACTATTTTTTTCTAGAGGTGTTTGCACAGCCCATAGAGAACCGTCAATAAATAATTCACCAATAAATACAGATAAATTGGTTACGATTTCAGAATTCAAAATACATGCTGAATGTTGTGTCCAAAAATCAGATACTTCGACAGCTTTTTCTTCTATTTCAATTCCAGGCAACTGCGACTGATCGTTGCCCATATTTATTTATTTATTTGAATTCAAAGCATGAAATGCTATGAAAATTACGTTCACCTTTTTTTTACTCAAATAACATGTATCAACATCAAATTCATCAACTTAATCAGAGAATCAGAGATAACCTCACTTCCTGATTTTTATGAACAAAAATTTTGACATTAACGTCCATCCATAACGTCAATCCATAGAAAATAAAGTGTCAATCAGGACGTCAATCATCATATGGTATACCATAGACGTAACATATTTAGAATTAGAAAGAAGATAGAACGCATTCACAAAGGAACACTAGCCTTGTTCAACGTGCCTACATTTTCAGTCTGTACTATGCGCCATGCGGCACTAGTAGCTTATAAAGTCACAAAATCGTTGCAGATAGTGTGGTGTGAAAGAAAGTAGTAGAAAAGAAAGTGTGATAGTTTAAATTTTAATATATAGTGCAAACCACGCTAGGAGTATTTTATTAGGTAGTAACGACCACTGTATGTTAATACAATGTAGATTAACCAGTTTTTACGGAAAAATATCGACTTATCTGTTATCGTTGTTTAAGCTATAAATAAAGATACCTTTACAGAAAGACAGAAGAGTCGTATCTGGTACGTATTTTTATTTTACAACTTTTGAGTTTGACTGATTATCTAATTAAATCACAGTTAACAGAATATTTCTTAATAATTCCAGATAATAAATTAGCATAAGATTTCCATCAAATTTGGGTGTTTTTACCATTATAATTTTTGGTACAAACTTGCAGTGTTAAATATTAATTTGCAGTTTCCGTTTATATTGAATGCAAAAGAGCAAATACGTCGAAAATAGTTTTAAGCAGAGAACGCATTAGGTGGTCGCGGTCTGTTTTCTTTCTTCGCCGGCTTGTCTAGCCCCCCCCTTGGGGGTAGTCGTCGTGAGGAGTGGATTTTTGGAAATAGTTTCTAGCTAAGGAATGCTCGGTGAGGCGTAGGATTTGGAGTTCGGTAGAGTGGTTAGAGCGGAAAGCAAACTGTTCGTCAGGAATGACTCGCACTTCTTCGGAGTGGGTTTTTAGGCGGGAATGGATTATTTTTTCTACCACTTTACTCAATGCCGGGAGTAGGCTGATGGGCCGGTAGTTGGAAGGGAAGGTATGGTCTTTGGTTTAGGGATGAGGATTGTGTTTGCTGTTTTCCAGCGTGTAGGGAAGTGTTTGAGTCTGAGTGTAGCGTTTGTTATGTTTAGTAGGGCCATGAGGCCCTTGTGTGGTAGTCGTTTTAACGTAATGTTGTGTATTTGGACAGGTCCAGAGGCTTTTCTGTTTTTTAGGTGTCTTAATATTTGCCTGAGTTCGTCTGGTGTGGCTGGTTGTATAATGTCATTGTCGGGCTCTTTGTTGACACGTCGGGCCGCGCGCTCAGCCGCCTCTTCGAAATTCCTGTTCTCGTCCGGCAGCTGGGGTAGTCTACACTGCAATTCTAGGCTGTCGACGAAAGCCTCGGCCTTTTCCTGGTTCGTGTAAACCACCCCCCCCGCTGCCGTGGATTGGTGGGAGTTTGGGTCTGGCAGGCAGTGGCAGGGCCCTCTGCGTTTTCCAGAGGCTGTTGTCTTGTGGGTCCAGCGACTCCAAGTGCCTACACCAGCTTTCCTGGGCCAGCCCACTCAGGGCCGTCTTCACCCGTCTGTTTAGTATGTTTAGGTCGTGTTTGTGTTGGGGGAGTCGAGTTCATGTAGCAAGCCGTTTAAGGTGTCGTTTGTCGCGTATGAGTTGTTTAATGTCGTCGGGAAGCACGCCCCTGGGGCTTGTCAGTCGGGACACAATTGTCTCTATCGTAGTTAGTTTAGTGCGTTTTTAATGCCTGTCTCTAATGTCAAGATTGCTGCCTCCAGGTCAATGGGGGGTTTCAATGACGGGGAGCGAGGTGCTTCTTTGTATTTCTGCTCGAAAGCGCCCCCAGTCAATGAACGTCCTCGTGAAGATGCCCTTATATTCGATTCTCCGCCTCAAATCCAGCGTAACTGGATTGTGGCCGGTAGACCCCTCGTGCTCGGTGGATATTTGGGCAGTCAGCGGAATAGATTTTATGATAGTTATGTCAAGTAAGTGGGGAGGCCGATGGGTTCGTAAAAAGTCGGTTCTGTCGGTCCGAGTATAGATGTCATTGTCACGCATGTCAACGTAGTCCAGCAGGGCCCAACCTGCTGCGGTCGTGGTTCCACTGTGTCACGCCGGGGACTTCAAGTTAAAATCCGTGATAGCGATAGTCTGGGGCCAGGAAAGGATAATGTCAACGTCTGTGTCAAGTATGGAGCGTTGGGGCGGGTGGTAACAGGACACCACTATGCTGTAGCGATCTCACCGCTATCGCCACGGCCTCGATATTTTGAGTTTGGAGACGCTGCAGCGGATAGTGGCCGATGCACTTCTTTACTATGAGTGCAACACCACCCCCGTTACGGTTTCTGTCATGTCTGTATATGTCATAGTCAGGGATGGAGATTCGGGAGGCCTCGCTAAGTTTGGTTTCCTGATGGCCATCACGTCTATGTCTAGACGGTGCAGGATGTCCACCAGTTCCAACTTTCTGCCCCGCAACCCGTCAATGTCCCAGACGAAATTCTCAGTAAGGAGGGTTGGATAAGGGGGCGAGCCATTAGAAATCAAACAATTTTTGCATGTTTGACATCATGGTTGCTAGCTGGACGCAGAAGTCCTGAAGACGATTAGTTGCATCAATCATTCTCGTGCGAGCGGTCGAACTGAGCGGACGTGTTTATTGTGAAGTGAAGTGCATTGCAACGAGCAAGATCTACCTGCCTTTATTAAGGCTACCAGGAAAGAATCCCTTTATTTCCTCTTAACCACCGACCTAATCCCCGGCTTAAGCATAGAGGCCGTCGGCATCTTTGTTACAGGTAGCTGTGCCGGGGTTATGCCCAGGTAAGTTTTTACTTTATTTATCAGTTATTTGCATTATTTTTGAATACATTCTTTAAAATTGCGACCCCGACAAACAATATACCAGACAGACTAATATACCAAAAGACACGTACGCCCCCGTAAGGGGCATCCCCACACGACTAAAACCTACACACCCTCACTCACACGCACACACACACACACACACACGCACGCACACACGCACGAACACACGCACAACATGTCGGACTCCGAAAACGAGGAGAACATATACATATACATGGACGATACAGACAGCGAAAGACCCTCTTCAAGGGTCTCCGCTTCACCAAAAAA